ATTTCATTTTTAAGCATTTCACTCGTACTGCAGGAGTTAATTCAGACTCTTCTTCAGTCAGTAGCACCGTCCACACTGAAGAGGGTTGCTTTTAGATGTATTTACTCATCTGAATAATATTGGATTTTAACATTTTGGAACATTATCCAGTTCTGGTAATGAGCCGAGTTCTTTTCCATTTTTGTGACAAAAATGTTGACATGTATAATAAACTATCCTCAGATTTTCACCTTTTGTTTGTGGCAGAAACAATTAAACGCCTAAAATTCTTTCCAACCAAATTCAGCAATATGACATGTCAGCCCTGCATCATTCGCATTTAGTCGCTTTACTTTGTTAATGAAAACTCACATTTTTACAGATCAGTTGATATTGGAACAGCAAGCAGCATCTTTCAGGTTCACAATAATTGATCAAGTCTTGCATTTCGAGGAGTTTCTGTTGTATAATGGAAATAATTGAGCAGGTTTTTAACAATTGTTTGACAGCATATTGTAAATTATGTTCCTTTTCTTTCATGTCGTCCAGAATTGACCTGGTTTATAATCCAGAATCAATCACTTGATATGTTTAATACCTCAGACGTTTCTCACTGTATTCACATTTCTGTTGAAATCCTAATAGTCCCGTATTTTGCTGCTGAAAAGAATGCTCTCTCAACAAATTAATCCTACTGCAATTATTTAAATATAAAAACCATAACACAACTAAAAAATAAAGTTTTTGTTTTGTTTTTTTTTTTTTAAATGGAAACTGTTTCCTTTTACAAAGTCTGTTCAAAAACTAAATGGGTCACAATGATTTAAAAAAAACTTTTTACCATTTTTATGAAATCACAGTTTATTTTTTATAATTTTTTTCAAACTCTTTTGCTGATGATATCACTCACTTTAGTGCTCTGCTCAAAGTCTACAATAGTTTTTTCCTAATAATCAGTATTAATAATCAAAATTCAACACATAATTTTCCTGTCCTAAGCACCAATAGTTATTAATATTAATATTACACTGTGTGTATGAATGAGCAGTCTCTTTAAAACATTGTTTTATTATTGTAAAACCAAGTCAGAATTATTATTCATTTGACATTTTAAACTTCTACAACAGTTTTTGTTTCCCTAATAATAAAAAATCTTGGAAAATTTAAGTGATTTAAAGTGCAAACCAAGTAAATTCAGCTTTTTTTAAACTGACTTGAGCTCCTCAGGGAGTAAATCTGTAAATAAATTCATATTTTTCAGTGTTTTTTTTGTGCTTTTTTTCATGATCCTCTCTCTCTACCCCTTGTCCTTCTCCATCCCTTCCTCCTCCCCTCTCCTCTCCCCTCCGTCTCCTGTGTGTGTGTTTTTGTTTCCTAACAGTTGTCCTAAGCTGGAGGACCTGCCGCCCGAGCAATGGAGCCACTCTACAGTAAGAAACGCCCTCAAGGAGTTACTCAAAGACATGAATCAGAGCTCTCTGGCTAAAGAATGCCCTTTATCACAGGTGCTGAAGCCCAATCCGCTTATTCAAAATTCCCCCCACCCCCTAAAAAAGAGCAAAAGAAAGCAGAAAAATATCTCAACCTCACCCACCTCCCCTCCTTCCGCTACCATACCACACAACAAAACAAACACCCCTATCTCCATCACCTCCGTCTCTTATCTTTCACTTATCAAATGCCCTGAGTTTGATCCACTGGGAAAGAGAATTGGCATAGAAAATCCAAATCAATGGCCATTGTCGTCTGAATATTTTTTTTTCCCTTTTTTGCCGCCTACAAAACACACACACACACACCAAGAGACGTGCGTGCAGCCAAAAAACCAGAGGTGTTATTGAACATATGGTTATTGTTAGATAAACACTGGACCAATCCCAGAACGATCCGGATTGTGTTTTTTTTGCTCTCTTTTTTTTATTTTGTCTTTTTAGTTCATTTCGTATCACTGCGCTGGGCTGGAGAATTACACATTCACATGTTAGGTGTCACGCTGCGTGCCGAGAGGTTCAATAGAGCGCGCTTGCACTGATATTGTATTAAAAGGCAATGCAGTCGGTATATCATGGAGGCAGTGAATGGAAAGAAAAGGCTGCATATCTCGGAGTGTGTGTGTGTGTGTGTGTGTGTTAGCTACTGTTCAGCAGGGCTTGTGTGTGTTTTCCTGGATTTGTTGGTGAAATATTCAGACTGTATCTGCGCTCTTTGAGGTTTTTAGCGAGCAGCCAGCTCTCCTCCCAGTCCACTGGATGGTCACCTGGAGACCCGGGTTTGTGCCGTGCGTATGCGCAAGAAGCTGCTTTCGGTGCGTGGGTGTGTGTGTGTGTGTGTGTGTTTAGCTGGGCATGATGATGTAAAGAGTCCCTGGGTGGCGTTCAGGCGGAGCCCAGCCCGGTCTGGTAATCACCCTGTTTACGGTCCATATGTGAAGACGGCTCAGAGGAGAGCGCACACTAGCTCCGAGGATTTAACACACAAAGCACATTCAGTCTGTCTCAGACACAAATTCGCAAGACTGACACACACACAAGTTTCAGATTAAATTATCAGATTGCTTTTGTTTTTTTTTCCTTTCAAGCCAATGTCTTTCGTTCCCACTTACCAGTTTAAATGCTATAAATCAGCCCTAAATGCTCTGTTATGTAAAACCGAAGCTATCTCAGATGTATATACACAACAGCAATGAGCTTACACAAGCTTACCCTGTGGAGTTTCCTAGGTTTTGCTACAGCAACACAATTCTAGGAGTTTTATTGGGATTTTAATGTGATAGAAGAGCATCCTAGTGAAGGAACATGATTTATTTCTGGACTCTCTTGAGCTGCAGGTCTTTTCCTCCATTTCTCTGCCAGTTCTGTCCGTCTAGAAGCTTAAATTTACATCCGTTTTTCTTCGCCAGATACCTTCAGCGTCTGTAAACAGCAATTTACAAATCTTGACACAGTCATTGTCAATTAGATGTAGGTCTGGATTTTGACTGGCCTCTTTTTAACTCAAACGTAGCTCTGCCCAAACCGTCCATTGGAAGGTGAGCCTCCATCGCCTCCTCTTTTGCTCTAATTTCCCGTCAAATTTGACCTTTCCCAACTGAAAGAAAGCATCCTTACCACATGATCCTGAGCTTTAATGTGGAAATATGTGTTTATACTAATGTAGAGGCCAACTTTACCAAACATAGCATCTTGTAAGGAAGCCAATAATTTAAATTTTCCTCTACTTTCCTCTTGTTTGCTGTTCCTCTGGCTCACGCCTTTTCACAAACTTCAAACAGGACGTCTTTCCTCTGCAGGTTTGACAAATAGTTATCCTGTCGACGGATTCAGATTTGTGGCTCTCCAGTTTCTTGCCATCGGTTTCTTAACCTCTTCTTTTATTAATTGCCTTCTTTATCCTGTTTTTCACTTAGACAGGAAAGTTTTGGGAAGGTTGGAGATTAACCTCTTTCCGTTTTCAGATGATGTGTTGAACAAAGCCATGGGAGATGTTCAAAGTTTAGATTATCATTTAATAACACACCCTGTGTCCGTCAGTCTTCATCATGCTGTTAGAGTAGAATAGTATAGAATAGAATAGAATAAGGTACATTCAAGTGACAGGCATATTCAGATTAAAAGAAATGTACAACTAAGCAAAACGTTCATGCACGTTTGTGCACAAAAACAAAGTATTTACAACAAATAGAAAACTGTGCAAATACCAGCAAGGATCGAAACACTTATTCAGTTTTTTGGGAGCAGTGATGGTTAAGGATCTTCTGTTATGCACCTTTGTGCATCGAGGATGCAGCAATCTGTCGCTGTAGGAGTTTCTGTTCAGCAGCAGCAGCTTCATGCATGGGGTGGGAGACATCGTCCACCTGCACTGGGTTGATGGGCGTCTTACAACATAGGTGGTGCTATGATGCAACATCGACTTCTTGGAGCTTTATATCCTGTTATGATGCCATTCCCTCCTCAGAAATTCATGCATGTGTGAGAAGTCCCACCTATTTTCCCAAAGCCCCGCCTTGGAGCACCTCTACCCTGCTCCTCTGCTCTTCTGCTCCTTCAGACTAGCGGCAGCAGCAGCAATTAGCAAACATCTGGTGGAACTGCGCGTCTGCTGAGCTCATTATAGGAACTGCTTCTCATGCCAATGCTGCTAAGAACAGCATAAAGGAGAGGCATTGGTGTTTCTATGTGCTGAAGGGGGAGTGTGAGAAGAGGTAGGAGCTTCTTAAAGAGACAGAGGCCAATTTCAAGGCATCAGACTGGGCTACATGTAAAGTAAAATATCTATTAAGTTGTTTTTGATACATACAGTGCTTTTATAATAAGTTCCTCAGTTGTGCAATAAAATGGAAGCTACATTATACCCTCCGTTTAACGTTGAGCTTATCTAACTGCTTCCTCTCAGCTGCAGATAAGGTGCAGTGCCAACGTACCAGACCACAGAAGATGGCTGATGCCACCGCAGAGTCAAAAACCACCTCAAAGGACATCGACTGATGGTGTCCAAGAAACCCCTTAGGCCTTCGATTGGCTGTATTTGTAATACGATTGGATTCTGTTTGCTAATTCGGTGGCGTTTGATGGGAGTTGGTTGATTTTATTGAGGCAACAATACTTTCTGGAAATGTATTCTGCAAACCACTCTATCAATTTGAAATTTCTGGCTTGGGTTTGTTAGAACATGTCCTGATGATCCAATTGTATCTAAGAGACGGCTGCTATGACAGCGTTTGACATCTGTTACTCTGTGGGGGCCGCATGTGTCCGGCTACCCCCACCCAGCCGTTTGCTCCCCGATAAACACTCTCCCCGGCTCCCAGGCCCCTCCCTGCAAGGCTTCAACCAAAGCCAGCGAGGGCTGTGGGAGGAGAAGGGGGCGTAGTGGGAGGGAACGGAAGACTGGCACCTTTTTTAGGATTAGTGTTTCCCTGATATTCTGCTGTGTAATCCCAAAGCAAAAGGCGAGGTTAACAGATGACAGGATGGCTGCGAGTGAGTGAGCAAGCAAGCCCACCTCTGAACAGCTCTCAGAGGAGACGGAGGAGAAGAAAACGCTTTATTATTGTTGTTATTGCGTGAAATTCTTCTTTTGTGTTCTGCGACGTCAAATCTTTAATTTCACTCTTTGTGTGTTTGGACGCTGTTCTCACTCCTCAAGCAATTGGCTCCGACCCACAGCGGCTCTTAAACATTAACGGCTAATGACTCGAAGAAGCGTCCGCAAAATTAAACTTCTCATCGACCAATCAGCTGCTAGGACTGCAACTAATTATTATTTTAGTTACTGATTATTCTGACGACTAATCAGATAAAAATAATTGGCACTCTACAGATTCTTTAATTTAAGCCTTTTTTGTGAAATATTAAACATGTTAAAAACAAATAATTCCTTTTTTTAAACATTAAATTAAACATTTCAAACATTTCATCTATTTAGTGATCATTTGTAGAAAAGGACGCAACTGCAGCTAAAATAATAAAACGTGAAAAGCTCAACCCTTTCTATTGACTTAATATCTAAACTTTACAGGACTGATCTATTGATTATTTTTTGGATTAACTGATTAATAATTGGGTCGTAAAAGTTGCTTAATAACAGAATTTGAATCAGGTGATGATAACATTATAGCGGTTTTTAATCTTACATACAAATGTAGATATTTTTCTGCAGTTTTGGCTTAATTACGGCTCTGAGTGTGTTGTTTTTTGACCTTGTATACTCCAATTAATAATGAATCAATTACTAAATTAGTTGACGATTATTTGATTAAAAACGATAAATCGTTTCAGCCGTACTCATCATTAATGACAAACTGATGTTTTAAAGCAGGTTTGGCAAAATCTGGTCTTCAAGAACTATTGAAGATCCATTTCTGATCTTAAATGCACAACATATCTGTACCGTTTGTGGCTTAATTACTGCTCTCAGTATGTTGCTTTTCCAGCAAATGTCATGTTTTTGAGTCTCCAGTTAACGATTAATCGATTACTAAATTGGTTGACGATTAATTCAAAAATCATGAGTAATCCGACTAATCGTTTCAGCCATAGATGCTACCAAGCTTAGAAACCCCATACCCTCGTTTGGTTTGCAGAAACTATGGCAACAAACGAGAATTTCCCCCCTTCCACCCTCTCGCTGAGCTGCCCCTGACGTACCAGCTGCTGCGTCGTGTAGCAGCAAAGTCATCAAAATGCCATCTTTGCGAGGCCTTCGCCACCTCGGCTGCCACAGGCGCAACCTGGCTGCCAGTGCGTGGCGTCTCTGTGTGGCGGCGGAGGGCAGGGGAGGGGTCATCCCAGTTGAGATGAATATGTGCCATAATTGAGCTCTGTTAGATGTTGGCGAGTGGCGAGGCGCAGTGTCGCAAATAGGATTCGCCTTTTCCCAATTGATTCAGGCAACCAGTGCAATCTGTGTGTGTGTGTGTACAGTACCTGGTTACTGCGATCCACTTACACACACACACATGCAGACACACTCACACACACTTTTCTCTCTCTTCCTGTCTCCTATGTCGGGGAGTGGAGTAGATGTTGGGGACCGATAGTAGCCCAGTGCCACTTCCTGGTCTTGCCGATAAGCGCTCTGTGCTGCAGATGGCTATCATTTAAAGGGTCCACACACACACACACACACACACACACGCACACACACACACACACATATGCAGGCACAGAGGCAGAGTTAGTACCTGTTGACACACCGAAGCTCAGCCCTCCCGCTGGCTCCACAGTGGAAGCAGAGGCGCTGGTTATCTGCTTGATTTCACTTAGTGCGTCTGCATGTATGTGTGACAGAGCAGTGGGGGGACGCAGAATAGGTGTGTGTGTGTGTGTGTTGTTTCTCCTCACACATACAGGCTGGGCCCCCTGTGAGAGGTAGAGTGATGTATTGAGGGAGAGGGCTGATTAATGAGGAGCGTTTATTAGAACATCTGTGTCAAAGATGGCGGAGGAAGAGGGAGCGAGAGAAAGAGAGAGAGAGATCTGCAGGCCTCTTGTTTGTTGCCTGGAGCCGCCTTAGCCCAGATATACTGTAAATAAAACATGGCAGGCTAGAGGAGAGGAGTTCATTATCCCAGCCCCCCCGAACTAAAAGGAGAACTGTATTCACTTTAAATTTAGCCTTTTCAGGTGGATCTTTGGGCTGCTGGAACCAGGTTAAACTGGATTGCATGGTTCACTGCCAGGTACGCCATTTATCATCCAGAATATCCCCATCTCTACCCCCCCGAGCTAAAACACACGGCAGGAAACCAGGCCGGCTTCGCCACTTCCCAAGGAATCGACCACAAAAGGTTGAACTACTATTTATTCTTTGCTAATAACAATATTGCATAAACTCTAAAGAAGGAAGTGCTTCATACATAAATGTATGACCCATTAAAAAGCTAATTCTGACTTCCTAACCCCAACCTGAACTCCATCAGGGTTTTTTTATTGAATGGAGCCTTTTCAATAAATCTATAAAGGACCGCTTTGTTATACTGTTGAAGTCCGACTGCAGACCTCTCTGCCCCCCCGCCTCCTCCCCTCTTGTTTTTCATCATGGCGGGATGATGCACCACAACATGCTTGGCACAGATTCACACCCAGCTGCAGTCGCCAATGTGACTCTGCTCAGCTGTCTTCATTTTTCCCAGAAATATTAAGATAAAATCAGCGCACCATCCGCTCCACACAGGCATTCTGAAGTATAGATTAGTTATGTTTTATTTTCACTGTATTGTGAACCATTTTCTCAACATTTAAATGTTTTTTACCACAATCAAGATCTTCTACTGACTCCTCTCATGGTTCATTCCTCCGGTGTTGTTCTGCAGTTTTTGTTTTGTCGTTACAGCTTTATAAAATGAATTAACTTTCAGGTGGGGTTCTATTAAAACACCATGAGCAATCAATATCCTACCTGCAACAGATAACAATCTTATCCACTTTAATTTGATCATTGGAATAAGTTTTAGATCTGACATGTTCTTACAGTTTGAACAGAAAAGTGGTTTTCTAACAACCTAAGAAGTTCATCAAAAAAAAAAAAAAAATATTTTATTGAAATTATGTTGATATTTGATTGTTTTGTAGAGCCCCTTCACACAGGATTACTGTGGATTTGATGTCGGACGACTCAGACGTTGTTTACGATCATTGTTTTAAGCTAATTTGTTCAGGATAAACCTGTAACATTTAGATCCACTTTTACATGTTTCCACCTCAGCTTATTACTTTTAATGCGAGAAGCGGCCAAGTTGAAACGCGAAGTTGGCCTTGCAGAGGGTAACTGATGGTAGTTGGAGTTTTTCAGTTTTCCAAAGGGAAATCCAACTTCGGATGGGTGTCTGATCGATTTTTACAACCGGGAAGTCAGAATTTCCCAGTTCTAAGTAAAACTGGAACATAAAACTCCACGTTCAGATCGTATTAACAGTAGTGGCACTTGAATTGCATTGTATTACAAGTAAGATCAAACTGGAATCTGTTTAGACTGATTTAAATATACATTTCTGGTTTAAGATTTGTGGTTTATTGGTTCCTTGCCCATAAACTGAATTGAATTCAAAGGAAATGAAGTGACGCAGTTCTCAGTATTCACGGCTAGATCCTTGTGATACGTTGTGGGAAGTTGCAGAGAATGTCTCTGGAATGTGAAAAATGTAACAGAAAACCCTTTGGGGAGACTGCAAAGAAGCTTTAGTGTCTTTACAGTGAAGGAGACGATGGAGAGAACAACTGGCTGTTTTTCTGCTGTCCAGTGTTTTCTTTTAGACGAGTTTAAGCTTCACACTGCGTTTTTGATACCATCTTACAAGGTTGTCTTATGTAGTTCAACAACAATTTCCTGCCAAACTAGATTAACCATCAGCAAGATAAAACTAAGGCGTGTTATTAAAGACCTTTGGCAGACTGTACTAATTTGAAGTAAGGGTCAACGATGGTTTCATTTAAGAAACCGTCGTTGTTTTATCTGTAACTTAATGGGACAGTTCAGACGCTTTGAAAGTCGGGTTCTGTTGAGACGTTGGCTGATTAATATTTTACCTGCAGTAGATGGGCCAAAATGAAAGCTGATTTCTGTCTTATCAAAAACTCCAGTCTTATAAACATCAACTGCAAAATAAGGTTTGTACCTTCAAACAGTCTTGGTGATTTATGTAGACGTTCATGGTGATTTACGCCACATTTGGTGTTGCTCCGCAATTAACGTCAGCCTTCCAAAAAGCCTTCAAAAGGGGAAAGAATGGAGAACCTGGTGGTGCAGAAAGGGGTTACAAGAACTGGTTCTTATCTCAGTTGCTTCTTATTCACACACTATAAGCAAGTTGTTGTTTTGAAGGCATGAACCACAGTCTGTCAGAAGTTTGAGTTAAAATGCAGCAGAAAACCTCAGCTGAACCATGTGTTTTGGTCAGACTTTATATTTTGCCCTGAAGCAACAAACAGTCCAGCTGAATCTGACTTGAAACGAAACCTCGACCTCATCCACACTGTTAGGTACGGTGATGGATCTGTGCTGCTGTGGGCCTTTCCCATGTGAAATGTGTCTGGCAAATTAAGCATAATGAGCTTTATTTACATTTGTAGCAGGAAAATCCAGTTTGTTTTGCCACCTGCATATACAAAAGTCCTTATTCCGTGTTCAGATCATTTATAAAATTATAACTGGAGGTCTTTTAACATGATTTGTCTTCACTTTGCTCTAACTACTTCTGCAGGGATCTACCAGTCAAAGCCTCTTAACAGAACCTTACATGAAATAAATCTGAAGTATCCCTTTAATACAAAAGGTCAGGAGTTCAGAGTTGCTCTGACCTTTTTGATGGCACAGCTGTTGGCTTCTTCCTCCCCGTTCTGCGCGGAGAAGCTGAAGCCAGAAAAGCAGAATTATGCTGAAACAGTTGGTTTGTGCTTGTTCTGCCAGAAGGTCCCCCGCACAAAACCTCCAAGCGCATATATTATAGAAAACGATAAAGATGGCATACCTATAATTTGAAAACAGATGGTTTGGTTCTTTTGAATATTTATAACAATCAGAAACATTTTTTTTCCTGCATTCACCCGGAGGCTGGCGAGGTGTTAAAACGCTCGTTTTAATGAAACTGCACGGGGATTTAATAAATGGGGCTTTTGTTTGTCTCAGGTTGGAGGTAAATGTTGAGGGAGCAGAGAGTCAACTGTATAGGGAGAGTCGGCGTCACAGAGCGACACGCTCGCTGCGGACCCCGTCTCGCTTGAAGTTTTTTGTCTCCAACAGATTGCACAAATAAAAATAAAAAGATTCGTATTCGCTCACATGAAACACCTCCACAGCTGTTGGTGCTTAATACATTGCTATGTTCCTTTTGAAGGTAAATATTTTTCTTGTTCTTGATGAATAATACCCACACTGCAAAAGACAAACTCTGTGGCATTTGATAAAAAAAAATAATAAAAATAACAGATTAAACCTTGTTTGATGTAATTTCTTGTTCGTTTGGAGGGAAAGAATCGTACACATCTGCATGTCTTACACTTTTATCCTCCCCTGTATTTTATTTGCTTTGACAAGCGACAGTGTTGCTGCATGTTCCACCAGCTCTAATATTATGTCTGTATTTTCCACAGTGAGAATCTAAAAGTCTCTCCCGCTCTCTCTCAATCAATCTCTCTCTTTCAGAGTATGATTTCCTCCATTGTGAACAGCACTTACTATGCAAATGTGTCGGCGGCAAAGTGTCAGGAATTTGGGCGCTGGTATAAACATTTCAAGAAGACAAAAGATATGATGGGTAAGCAAAACGGAGGGGCGCAAAGTATGGCGCTCACACTTTTGTCTCTGCATACAGACACGCACGCACACACACTTTTTAACACACACTCGCACCAGTCATCATCACAATATGTCCCCTATCCAAACGGCTCTTTGTCTTCCTGCTGTTGAACGCTGCACAGATACATTTTTATCTCGTTATCTAATATTTCAAGGTCAAAAGGACTTACAACCATTGGAATAAGAAAGTACACCCTTTCTCAGCTCCATGGTTTTGTTTATTAGGACAGTAGAAATGATCGGGTCTCTACAAGGTCAAAAAAAACATGTAAATATAACCTTTGTTGTTGGCACTATAAAGCAAGAAATGGAAAATATGTTTGTAGAAAATCTAAGTGGACCCTTTTGGGTTGTGACCTCTATAAAAGCAGGAGTGTTTACTGTTTGCTGGTCTGGATGTGTGTTACCACAATGCCACGTTAGAAAGAGTCAGCAGTAGCTTTAGAGGAGCTTCTCATCAATCCTGGAAGGCTTATAAAACTCTTCATGAACTATTTAAAGTCTGTGATTCTACAGCCTTTAGTGCAAAACGTTTAAGTCGTTTGCTAATGTTCATGGGAAAGTTTTTCCCAGAAAAACTCAACCTCACCTTCTAAAAAATGCTAAAATGATACCAACAGCTTCATCCCAGACTGTCCAGGCCTCAGTTAGCTTGGTTGATGTTAATGTTCATGTCTGGACAGTTTGTAAAAACAACCACACATCCGCATTCATAAAGTGCTTCGGATTCTGTTTTCACACGATAAACTCGGTTTGATTTAGGACCAAAGCTGCAACATTTGTTACATTTTCAGCTGATGCGATTCGCTTTCACACTGCTTTGTGTAAAATGATTTAAGCTAATTCAAAAACCTGTTCACCCCGTCGCCTGTGGGGGCGCTGCACCAAGACCTACTGAGGGAAACGGCATGAAAACCTCTGAAGAAGACACAGAGCGCAACTTATTTCTTCACAAAATGCAAAGAATGGAGTTTTAGCGGTCGTTGGATTTTCTCTTAATTGGGTCTGTTCAGTTTTTTTCCACAATCAGCTTTTCCATTTTGCTCCTCGTATTTTGTGCAATTAATAACAGCATTTTGGAAACTTTAGCTTGTGCTTTGTAAGCTTGATGTCAGTTTCATTTTTAATTACCATATTTTCCAGACTAAACATCACACTTATTTTCATAGTTTGCCTGGTTCTGCGACTTATTCGTGTTTTTATTTTTGGACTGATGCATTAAATATTAATTCATATTGATATGAACCAAGGATTAAACATTAGCGTCTGCAGTGCAAGGAAAGCTAGCTGAAAATAAATAAATGTGACTAAATGTCACTTAAATGTGTCTTATGCACATAAATGTTTTTTCCCTCTTTGTGTCACATTTTTTGATTGTAACTTTGACTCTTTATCAATGTACTGTCCAGAAAATACTTTCTCTCAGTTACTGCATCTCAAAATGAGCTATTATTACCACACCCAACAAACGTTTCTGAACATTTTCTTTTTATGTTTTGTATAACTCTGTGAATAAAAGGCGGCATTGGCTTTAACTGTCCACTACCTCATCCGGAATTAAATTAGATTTCTTATCTATCTCTCTACCAATGCATTACTTTATATAATCTAAAAAAATACCCTTTGACCTCCCAGGAAATGGGGGTCATATAATGCCAGTTCCACCAAAGCTGGAGATAGTTGTCAGATATACGTTTCTGTAGTTTTATTAAGCGGAGCAGCTCTGTGCTGGGGAACCTGTAGGGCAGCAGGCATTGGTGAGATATTAGTTTTAGTAATCTGTTGAGCTGAATCTTTTTTTTTTTCTGCCATGATGCTATTCCTCACAGCGATGACAGACAAGATTCTTTATCAAAAATGTTTTCACATCCTGCATGCAAACGGTGTGCTGCGATCATATTTTATCTGATCCTTTTAAAGTGACAACGTACACCGGGTACATTATTTCCTTCAGAGCCGCTGTTCTTGTGTTTTCTCTTGCTTCACTCCCACACGTTTTCTGTCACACTTGTTTTCTATCCGGTTTTATGTTCCTCAGACGGGGAGCTGCTGCAGCTGCCAGTCTGGCCTTTTTGTAGTGATGCTGATGCTTTTTATTCCTGCATAGCTGGAAGTGAGAGAGACGATCTGTAGAAAGCCTTAACCCCTGTGTTTCTCTCCTCACGCCTGCACGGCGTGGTGTGTGTGTGTGTGTGTGTGTGTGTGTGTGTGTGTGTGTGTGTGTGTGTGTGTGTATTCACCCGTGCAGGCATGCGCCAACCCTCCCAGCTGGAGGGCTACCTGGGGACGTGCGTCCTCCGTGAGAGCCCGCGTGCCAATGCGCTAGGTAGGTTACAGCATGGGCACACACACACACACACACTTAAAACACACACACACACACTTAAAACACACACATTAATAACCTGCAGCTTTACTGTAACCCAACCACAATACCTGCAAGTTTAGCTCCTGTTTTCCCAAGGTTAACTGTAAATCTCTGTTTCAAACATTAATAGAAGAAACAGTCACCCACTCAGTATTTGAGAAGCAGCATTTTATTCCTAAATGCATAAACTAAAATAGTTACCTTCTGACTCTCCTAACTAGAATTTTAATTAAAATCTTATTTCTGGTTCTAAAAAGCAATTCATGCTAATTTAAAGTCATGCAGAAATGAAACGAGTCGCTTTAAGAGCTCGTTTCCTCCATGAAAGCTGAAGCTTGTCAAACATTCGACCTTAACTTAGAAAATAAATCTCATAAAGTACTATTTCTAATGCTTGATTTTTATTTTGAGTAGATTTCAGAGGGACAATGATATTTTTGGAAATTTGATCTGGAGGCTCAACAAATATTATTGTAAACACTTAAAAGTATTCACACTTCTGGGATTATTTGTAAAAACGACAAATAATTTGTGATGTGAAAGAAAAAGGAATCGTTTTACATTTATTTCAAGGAAACTGAAAAGTACAGTGTGCTGCTTGTTTTAGAGACACAATAGAGATAAAATACAAGAAGTTTAAAGTTTAGTTAAGTTGTGAAAAAGTCTGACTGAAACTCTTTCCGTCACTCCGCACTTCCTTTCCACTTCACCTCTATGCTTTCACTTTTGTTGGCCAATCACTTAAAAATCCTTTGAAATATGTTGAGATTCGTGGCGGAACGATGAAAAATTAGGCATTTAATTTACCCACTCACAATTTAAGACTGCAAAGTAATATTACATTACACATAGCGAGTTTACAAACAATCTGTGTTGCTTGAATCACATTGTCGTCACAGATTGATTTGGATTATGTCACTTTAAGAACAAATTCCCTCTCTGATTGGTCAGATGAAGAAATAAAAATGGTGGTTGTTCCTTTAATGGGTTTATTTACCCTGGAAGTTTAAATTGATTCTTCCAGTTGTGCTGAAGAGCCAAATTTATATTCTATACATTTCTTATTAATTTGGCAGCCATGTTGGATTTTCAGGCAAGAAAAGTTTTACTTTTGAGAATAATCAGGACTCAAGATTTGTTTGCTAAAGCTTCGATCTCATGTAGATTTGCCACAGGGTAAGAAAAAGCCTAAAAGAATCAGCGGTTCCACTTATTAACGGAGTGTTTTTGTTTCTATATGAATTTATTGTTTCTTAAAAAGCACAAACCTTTGAAGCAGGAAAGAAGAAAACTCAAATCTTCTCATAATAAACGCACAAGTTGCATGATTTTTAGGAGAAACCCTGAACATGAAGTCACTTTTCCACTCAAATAATGATCTAAACTCTGTAATTGTGACAGCTCATAAAAACGGTCACGTATGAAATCCTTCAGTCTGGAACTTTACGCTGCGATAAGAAAACCAACCACATTGGTGCACATTTGCAGCGATAACATCTCCAGACGTGCAGTCAAACACAAACTAGCACCCACATGTCATGTTAACCAAACGTCAGATAAAAACCCAGCACATCTATGTCAGTTGTCCACCACAGGCTTGCGGCAGAGTCCATCTAATTGGGTTGATCTTTGGCAACATGTGGAGAGGAATCTGCTGGAAAAACGCAGCGAAACTGAGAAACGAAGTTATTTATCTGTGCTTTGGTTAACGTTCCTGGTTATTGAGTAAAGTTCCCGATCCTTAGGAAAGCCAACGTAAAAGTGAGAGTTGGGTCAATCCCTTTTCATTCACTCTGTCAAACACACATAGACACACACACATGCTCTCTCCCTCAGCTCACATCCCATTCCCATTGTGTGTTTAATCCGGGACTCTTTTGTGGCAGGATTCCACATGAGGACTCCCGCTTCTGTGGCAGCCGTTTTTTTTTTCCTCCCAGGGCCTGCCATGCTCTTCTGTCACCCCTACTCTTTTCAATTTGCATGGAAATACCTCCATGTGCCTCTGTTTGTGTGTTGTGAGCATGCCCCCCAGCAGTCTGCATGTGCACGCATATGCACACACACACATTCATATAGGAGTGAATAGGCATGTCATACCATCAGAGCCAAGGAATGCCAGGGATTATGAGAAAAGATGTGATTATTACCAACATTTTTTTGTTGTTTTGTTCTTGTTTTATCCTCCTCACCCCTCCACTCCACATCATTTGTTAAAAAAAGGCTCAATAGACCTGTCTTGGACGGTGGTTTTCTGCATCCTGACAGTTATAGAGCAAGCACCTCAGACACGATTATCAATATTTTTTTGGAAAACGTCCATGCAGATAATCTTCCATCTGCTGAAACATTTTGCTCTATCAAAGG